GGTGAAACGGTGGAAGGAAACCCTTTGTCCAGGGGTGGACACACACACACTGTCTCTCTCACTCCCTCAATCATTCTCTCAATCACTCCCTGCTTATTCTTTCACATCGGTGTCTCTTTCACTCACCTTTATCGTCCAGTATTTTTCCGTCCTTTTCTTCTCAATCTCGACTTCTCGTTGCTAGTTCTTACAAGCTTAACATGTGGGGCTGTCCGGTCCTTGAATATTTTGTAGTTTTTAATGTTCTGTCGTTCTCAGGACCTTTGCTTCGAAGGGCAATTTGATCGTGGCCTTCGGGCACCCGGAGTTGGTCGCGTGAGCCTTCGAAATGGTGCGCCCAAGAGCCACTGCACTTTGGGCGCAAATGCGCAATGGATTTATGATAAGATAAAGCGTGACTTCAACGAAAAAATTTTCCCCAAATTGAAACTGAACCACGCAAATGCAGGGACAATGTACTACGCGCAAACATTTTGGAGTATTTGGATACAGATCCGACATATATAAACGGACGCAAACAGCAAAGTGTCGCGTACCCTTCTTCGAACTGAGAAGGAGCAATCACCTCTTGGCTGATGTCCAGCGAACGCACTAGTCATCATCAAAGGAACTGTTGTTTCATGTTATTGCGAAGACAATGAGTTTATTCCCACCTGAAAGCATTCGCTCCATCCCTTGATCGCTACAAACTTTCTGGGCACTTAAAGATGAGTGGGCCTCGAGTGAAGACTCAGCTTTCATCTTAGATCTGACAATTGCACAACAGACAGGGCAAGAGGAAGCTACTCAGCCTATAAATAATCAAGCCACGTTAGCTGAGAGGAGAAAAAAACACGCGGCCGGCCATTTTGCGCAGAACAAAATTCAGCGAAAGGAGCTGATTCCATCAAGTTTCTCACAATTTCTGGCAGCAAACGCTTTAGAGTATTTGCGCATGTGTCCGTAAAATCGTTCCAAGACAGTTAGTGGAGTGCACGTTGGTTTTCAACATGTTCTGTTTTAGGGTTAGCCACTTCAAGAACGGTTCTGGTTTCTTGGAGTTTGAAAATGAAGTGACCTGCGCGATGGGATTTCATACTGAATGGTAGTTTCCACAGTTGTCTCGATTAGGTGAAGTTGACTTGGCGCAAAAACGTTGCATTGCTTCAATTCATGAGAGTTTGAGGTTAGAAAGCAGCTGCTTTCAAACTCAAAAAGCTATGCAGGTGTGGTCTACGAAGGTGAATTTTTGGATGGTAGGCGCAATCCGAGCGCCAAGCTGATTTCCGTTGAGAAAAGTCAGAAAGGAAATTTATAATCGGGCTGCCACCCGTTGCTGCCGACCCGTGAGAGGATGGCGCAGGTACTGTGTCCTGTCAGACCCACAAAAAATTGCAGAGGCCAGGCGACATGATTCCTACAGCAGGCCGGGCGACGTTACCTTTGGAATCAGCTAAAGGAATGAGACAATCCCTATCCCATGTATACCTGGCCATCTCACACAAACCCTTCGAAACGGACTACACCATGTATTTCCAGGCGAAAAACGGGAAAACCGACCACGCGCATAAAGCTTTCCAAGCGAATAACGGCGAACATCGAGTACCTAGAGCCGGCCGGGCAGGGCTCAAAACGTAAGGATCACCATTGACATTTCCTCTATGAAATGGGTGGCCGCGAGGCCCGTATAATTTTTTGTAATATAGAGAAATGATGAGACATGCAATTTGTTTCCAGACAAAAAACAAAACAATCCAACCGCGTAGAGTTTTCCAAGCGAAGAATTACAAACAAAGATCAACCAGCTAAAACCCTATGGATCGACCACCTAAAACCTTATGGAATCCACGCAACGCTTGTTCTCTGGCGTCTCCCCCGGTCCAAACCTGGGTCGGCGGACACAACCAGACATTTATACAAGCACCTGTTCCTTTTCAGGCATGTTGAGGAAATTTGATGTTGCTTGATTCACTTGTTAACTTGTTCGTTCCGTGCCTCACAGGCGGCATGGACATGGGACCACAGAGATCCCTGAAGCACTGCAGCAGCGCCTGGGCTTGGTCCCTTAGACAGGCGAAAGACTGAAATCACAGCGAAAACACAGTCAGCGACAGGCGGGAACAAGGCATTTGAAAGGCTCTAGAAAGACGTATATAAAGGAATTCAACTTGAAGTGTGAAGTAAGAAGCGAAGAGAAGGACGATTCTAAAGCCACCAGATAGCGAAGCTATGGTGTTCTTACTTCAAATATCAATGAGTTGCCCGCGCGCGCTTTCGAGGCAGGTTGCTGGTGCCGGGTGGCGGTGCTGGCGTTGGTGCTGTGAGCTGGCTGCGCACGTGGTGGAGACAGGTTGCTGGCGCTGGTGCCGGGTGCCGGTGCCGGTGCTGTGAGCTGGTTGCGCGCGTGGTGGAGACAGGTTGCCGGCGGGCGCTGGTGCTGGGTGCCGGGTGCCGGTGCTGGTGCTGGTGGTGGTGGAGACAGGTTGCTGGTACCCGTGCGCATACGTTTGCGCGCGTAAACTTATATGCGCAAGATCATACAGCCTTATCGTTCTGCAGATCGTTGCTTCAAGCATGCTACAAAGTCAATAGTGGTGCTGGTACTGCTTGGCCTTGGGCCAATGACTCTTACGGGCTTTGCTGTTTGCGCGCATACTTTTGCGCGCATAAACTTATACGCGCTAGATCATGTTATTCCCCAAATAGGGATGGCTATGGGGTTCTTGCTGCAAATAAGAATGAGCTGGCTGCGCGCGCTTTCGAGGTGCTATTGTTGTGGTCCTGGGCGCTGGCGCTGTGAGCTGGCTGAGCGCGCGTTTAATTTAAGACGGGGGGCTGGTCGGGTGCTGGCGCTGCCGGTGTTGTCAGCTGGCAAAGCGCAGCGGTGCTGGTGTCAACTGGCAAAGCGCACTGGTGCTGGTGTCAGCTGATTGCGCGCGCTGTGGAGGTGCCGTAAGCTGGCTGCGCAGGCTGCGTGCATTTTTGTTCCAGCCAGTCGCATGTCAACAGGTCGTGGGATTCTGCCTGGCTATCTGGGTCTATGCTGGTGTAATTCTTACAGGTCTTGATCAAATTGCAGCAGGCGCAAGAAGGCTGTAAGTCAGCCTGTCCGCATGCAAAAACAACATGATACAACATTTAAGAAAGACGGAAAAGCGGACACGGACATGTCAAACGTCGCTTCTGAAATCGATTGTAGAAACAATTGCGCCGGCCTTGGCTTGTAGAAACAATTGCGCCCCCCACCTGTGGCTACGAGCACACAGCCAGAGGTGATCAATAGAGCGTTGAGGATCCTTGCCATTCACGAGATGTTGTACACGGTGTTTGCAGCCATTTGCGTACTTCTTGGTGCGTGCGCTTGATGCGCAGCGTTGTAGCATGTTAAGTGTCTTGAAGTCACTGCAGCGCAGCGCAGTCCAGCTGAGCTCTAGTCTTTTGGGCACGTTTCCTCTCAAACACGGCGCGCGGTTGCAACAAGGTTGCTTCTCACAACTCGCTCAAAGAATTTCTCTACCCATGTTATGTTCTTCTGTTTGTTCTGTTTTGCCTGGTCTATACTACTACTATACTGTGTGTGTCACCCGCCATTTCCAGGAGGGTTCCCTTCCACCTTTCATTTTTGCACAAAGCCGGGGCGTCCGGCTCGATACACCTACCTGACGCAATGAAGCTACGGTGTATCGAGGGGTGGACTGATCGTCCACCTGTACCTGCACTTTTTCCAACACTCCAATCTCCACCGCTGTTTTTTGCTGTCATTGTTCTCACGATAGACCCCCAAAACCTTTTTCCACCGCTTTTCCAGTTGCTGGTCACCGCGGCCTTCTGCAGACACGCGCAAAAAGTGTTTTCAAACACCTTCAAACGCGCAGACTTTTCGCCGTGCTGTTCCACCATCCCTTTCTCTGTGGATTCTGATAGTGGATGAAACCTTATCTAAGTGTGACCCGCTGTGCTTTCCCACCTGGGTGCGCAGTGTGATCCTCTCGCAAGAGACTGACTCACCGTCCTTTCACCGTGGATTCTGGCCTGATTTAATTCTTTTCATCCATGAATCCCCCGACACCCATGCGGCCGCGCTTACGGGAATTTATGCTGCCGAGCTCACGGTCTACACACACGTGTACATACATGTTCTCTCTCCCCCCCTGCTTTCTCTCTTGCGCTTTCTTCGTTTTTTAGGTGTTCCATCAGGCTCGTTAGGTTGTTCTTGAGGCGCGTTTCCATGCCCCACGGATTTCGTTTCTTTCTCTCTTGCCTGTTCGTTTGTCTTTCTAGGTTTGCCTTTTTGCTGAAGGCTTTTTAGGTTTGAGGTGTTTTTCCTTTTACTCAAGGGCTAAGTATTCAAGCGCTAAGTAATCACCTTTTTTTGCTACTCCTATCTTTCTCTCTTGCCCTTTTTCGTTTTCCTCTTTCTGTCTTTGCTTTCTTTTTTTCTAAGGCTCGTTAGGTGGCTAATCAGGTTTTGACCCCGTAGTTTGCCGCCCGCGCGGCAGACATGCACGCCTCTACACCTATCATTTTCTCTTGCCTCTTCGTTTCTCTCGTTCTTTCCCGTTTTCATTTTTCTAGGGCTTGTTAGGTGACTCAGGTTTTGAAGCGCAAAATAGGACGCTCCGTTCTCACACGAGTGCGCCGATGATCGGCCAGTTGTGTGGCCACCCTCCTTTTCCAGGAGGATTCCCTTCCACCTTTCATTTTTTCCACAAAGCAGAGGCGCCAGGCCTGACGCAATGAAGCTATGGTGTATCGAGGGAGGGGTGGACTGATCATCCACCTGTACGTGCGCTTTTACAACACTCCAATCTCCACCGCTGTTTTTTGCTGTCACGGTTGTTCTCACGATAGACCCCCAAGACCTTTTTCCACCGCTTTTCCAGTTGCTGGTCACCGCGGCCTTCTGCAGACACGCGCAAAAAGTGTTTTCAAACACCTTCAAACGCGCAGACTTTTCGCCGTGCTGTTCCACCATCCCTTTCTCTGTGGATTCTGATAGTGGATGAAACCTTATCTAAGTGTGACCCGCTGTGCTTTCCCACCTGGGTGCGCAGTGTGATCCTCTCGCAAGAGAGGCGCTGAAGCCATTG